TCATCGTGCTACTTGTACGCTAACGACTGCCTCTATAACACATTTTTTAAGTTTTCACAACGGGTGAATCATGAAAAGCATTCGAATTGAATTTCGTAGTATTGTATTAATACTTCCAATGGAATGCGTAGCTAATTTAATTAAAAAAATAAGCGGTGGCCGCTTACTAGCTACTGTCATTAGGCTCACCCGTAGTCCACATCACATGCGTTCGCCTATGCCTTGGTATTCAATTTGCAGCCAAAAGTCAATAATGTTGCAATCTATCTGCATGCATATAGGCATGATTTTTAACATTTACACATGATAATAGCCAGCATATTATGCATAGTACAGGCAAATGTATAATGCCTTAACTTAATTTTTTCTTCTCGAAAATACAGATTACATGATCTTACATTGTGGTTGTGGAATGAAAAGGGGAGATCTCCCACCGGGCAAGGTGTTCTGCCCGGGGAGCGGCCAACACTCCGTGTGATAGTTCGGAGATGTTCTATATATACTGTTTATGATTCGGAATGTTGATAGCGCGATTTAGGCTTCGGTGTGTTTTTCGCTTGTGGCGCGACGACAGCGCCGCTACATCACCCCCTGCTCAGACCGGAGGTCGATAGTGCAGTCGAGTTGTCGACGAATGTGCAAGTGCCAGGAGATTGCCTTGTAGTCTGCGGTGAGTCGAGAAGAAGGCAAGTAATCTGCGAGAGTGCCGTGAAGCAGAGGCGAGCAGTAAGGCTCAGAGCCGTGCCGAACACTGTATAGCGCAGTGAGTAGCTTGAAGGAACAGGAAGCATTATTATTCCAGTGCTGCGATGAACCTTGTAAAGCTAGATGGCTTGCAGGATATGAAGACTGCAGACGATATCTGCTCGGGAGCGAATGGGTGGGGTATTCTATGACGATTATGAAGCTTGAAGTTTCCGAAGGTTGTTTGGTTGCGTGTTCAGATCACGTCGGGGTCACCACTGTGGTTGTGGAATGAAAAGGGGAGATCTCCCACCGGGCAAGGTGTTCTGCCCGGGGAGCGGCCAACACTCCGTGTGATAGTTCGGAGATGTTCTATATATACTGTTTATGATTCGGAATGTTGATAGCGCGATTTAGGCTTCGGTGTGTTTTTCGCTTGTGGCGCGACGACAGCGCCGCTACATACATCGATATAGAAAAACACTGTCAAATATAAATTATTGAATACATATTATATAATCTAATCTAATATAATCTAGAGCCGTGGTAGCTCAGATGGTTGGTGCTCGCTGTAAATTTCACAGTACGCGAGCAAACCGGGTTTGATCCCCGCCGGCAACAATAAAATTATTAATTGCAATTTTAAGTGCTAATTTACCACGTGCTCGGCGGTGAAGGAAAACATCGTGAGGAAATCTGCATGTCAGAGAAATAACAAAAAAAATTATTTCGAAGACATGTGAAGTTCGCCAACACGCATTGGGACAGCGCGGCGGACAATTCCTTGCCCTAAAACCCTTTCAGAAATGAGCGGAGGCCTGTGCTAAACAGTGGGACGTATATAGTCTGTAACTTTACTTTTTTACTTTTACATAATCTTATGTTAAATAAAGTCGTATTTGACTTTGTATTAACTGGACACAAATAACTCATCTTCCAAAGTGACCTTTCCTATGTGTAATAAAAAGTTTGGTCACTTTGCTAAAATAAAATGAAATAAACGGTCTACGTAGTACATACGGGTATCCCTATCGACTCGTTTTTTGGTAGAGTGAGAAAGGACGATAACAAAGTTTTAGGTTATACAATAAACTTTATGACTTTTAAACATATTTAGATAACATTTTTATTTGTTCTAAGAACTGAACTGAACATGATTCACCAATCTTAAGCTCACAAAACACTTTTTCTCACCTAAACCAACTTGTAACTCCTTAGATCGCTACGAACTGTCGAAGTTGTTTAGCAAAGTGTAGTTAGCTAAACAAAAAGACCGGCACGGAGAAAGGGACAAACAATCAGACCGCTCTGTCTCATTTCTATGCAAGACGTATGCATAAATCTATATTTTTCGTATGCGAATACGAAAGAAGGCGTCAATTTGTCTATAGGTTTCCCTGTCTATGGGTTTGTGCATTAATCACGTAAGCTTGTAACCTATTTAATTATGATTCACGTAGGCTTAAAAGACAAGCATCTAAGCCAAAAAATTTATTAAAAAAATAAAATAATGGCATTATTTCGCTTGTTAGAATACACCAACTAGAATACCAAATAGAATATACCAACCCGTCAGGGTAAAGCGGGCTACATACGAGACGATATCGGTGGCGATCTAGGGTGGAAAGAAATCGGGGGCTTTTATCGGGGCAGACCCTACACACGGGCCTGCCTAGCAGTACGCGTTCGGACTTGGAGCGGAACGCATATGCGGTAGAGTTCTTCAAAATGCCTCCGACTCTCTTAAAATCCCAACGTGTTGGTTTGGTATTAGCCATCTAAAAATATCAATTTCTCCTACCTATGCTATTTAGTTATTTCTTCTCTTTGTTCAAAATCGGGTTATGTACTACACACAACAAACAATGAAATAAAATACTTTTGTATAATAATATGTATACTTTTTTTTAAACGTAATCTTTATTTATGGACTAAAACTATCAAAAAATTAAATAGCTTATATCTTTTTTTTAGATAAAGAAACCTTTAATTTCGGACATACTCCCTTCTATATAGCATGTTTGTTAAAGTGGAGATGCTGTAGGAATAAGAGTTAGTTGTTGATGAGAGGACGAAGGCACGTAAGAGATCGAAGTGTGGTCTTGTGGAGTTGCTGCAGGAATAAGAGTTAGTTGTTGATGAGAGGACGAAGGCACGTAAGAGATCGAAGTGTGGTCTTGTGGAGATGGTGTAGGAATAAGAGTTAGTTGTTGATGAGAGGATGAAGGCACGTAAGAGATATGAGTGCGGTCTTGTGTCGATAGCGTGGGAATAGGAGTTAGTTATTGAGGAGAGGCTTTATCTTCTCCTTACTTACTTCATACACCCTACTTTATGAACGGCACTAAAACAATTAGTTTAGTAGGCATTCTTGACCATGTCACTTCGCAGGGTCACAGGCTAGGGTGGATATGATTTGAATTTCGATAGATTTTAATTAATTTATTTATTTTATTCAATATTTTTTTTGTTTTTTGTAAAATATCAGTGCCATAGGCTTCTACTCCGTTCACAAGATTAAAATGTAAAAATTTTGTTATGTAAAAGAGGTCATTCAGTATCACTGCTTCGTTAACGTCCTTCCGCGAGAGCTGCCGGCAGCGACTGCCAAAAGAAATCGGGCCGATGCGCCTACACACACGCAGTACGGAGGGTGCGGGGTCCCGATCTAGGAAGCATCGGCTGCATTTTTGTTCCTGCCAGCCGATTCAGGAGGCGATATCGGCCACGACCTAGGATGGCCCTACATACGACACGATTTACAGGCAATCTAGAAGGCATCCCCACTACTCCACCCTAGATCGCCACCGATATCATGTCGTATGTAGCCCGCTTAAGTAGAGTAATACATAGATAAATAAATATGTAGCAAGCTAGAGTATATATACAGATAACTATATAGCCCCATTTACATTCAGCCACTGCCACTGCTCCTCGCGCTGCCGGCAATACTTCCCTAAATACTGCCGTAGCAGGATCGCGGGAAGTGTGTATTCACACTCTGCCCTACCACTCACATCGCTTTCGGCTTTCGACTATGGCGGACGTCGAAATAATTACAGCGTCCGCGCTGTGTCTTCTTGCAATACAAAATTATGTTAATAATTTAAAAAGATATCAAGTTCAAAAGAAGATAGATAGATAGATAGAAAATTTATTTGCTTAAAAACATGGTACATAAGATGATCAATGACGTGGAACTGACATGTTTTGCCATAATTGGCATGGAAAAATGATATGAAATACAGCTAATTACACAAACCCGATGTTGCTTAAAAGTTAGGTACACACATTCTTTTTTGAATTCAAATATTATGTACAATTAAATACTAATACAGATCCACTCTATTTGAATTCTTATACAGTAAATTGTTCATAAATTATTAATTGAATTATTATATTATTGTTACATAAATAATATTAAATATTATATGAGATTAGTTAAGCTATTATTATTTTATTAATTACACTTCAGTATAAACTAATTCGTAATTTTAATTACAATAAAATTATAATTTAAAAATCTCAGGCTATTATGCAAATATTACCTTTTAACTTATTTTACATTTTAATTAATAAATAATCAATATAAGTTACTAATAGTTTTTAGAAATAAAATGTTAATGTTCATTAATTCCTTAAACTAAATTTTATATTAATATAATAAATTTGACGAATTTATAATTAATTATGTACATAGGTACTATGTTAACTCAAAAAGAAAATTCGTATTCGTAGAAGATGATGAATTGTGGTTTTTATCGTTGAAATCCCATATAGTTTTTTCTGATTCCAGCAGTTCTAAAAACTTTATTGTATTTTCATTAATCTACTCGAAAGGCATTTTGGTAGATCGTATTTATTTAATAACAGGACGGCACGCACGTCCGTTCATCCAGGCGCTTGTCGCGAAGTGAGCGATGGAGCTGAATGTGAACACACACTGCCGCTCGCGCTGCCCGTCCTTTGACTTCCGCACGAAAAACCGACATTTCGGGCAGTGTCAGCGGCAGCGGCAGTGTCAGCGCGAGTAGCCTGTTTACATACTGCCCTGCTCACTGCCCTGCTCACTTCCCTGCCCAAACGGGCTGAATGTAAATGGGGCATATACTAGTCAGAGAAGTATATATACAGAAAGATGTATACCACAGAGTAATTTCTAATATACTGAAAATGTATACTGTGGTTACTAAAGAGTAAAGAGTTTAGTAAATATTTATACGGAACTTGATACTTTGTTATCGTAATTGGAAAAAACGCATGTATGTAAAGTATATCTAATAAATCGGTTCTACTGTACGTATTTACACAAAAAGATGCCTCAGTGGTGTGCTGTACCATACTGTTCATCAGCCAAAGGTGGTCATAGATTTCCATGCGATAAATCTCGGTCACAAAAATGGATAACAGCTATACGGAGAGAAGACTTTATCCCATCAAAACATGCAGTAGTTTGCAAAAATCATTTCACTCCTGAAGACTATGCGTTACCAAAGGATCCAACGTATCCAAATCGTTAGTATAAGGCACTTATTAGAGTAGATCAATGTACTTATCATCTTCTTGACAAATTTTACTGTCATGATCTCGTTGATTTTAGCAACTCCTCGTCTGAAAAAAGAGGCAGTGCCAAGTGTGTTTCCGTGGAATAGTTCTAAACTTAATGATAAACTAAAGATCGAACGCCATCAAAAATTAATTAGAAGACGACTAAAGAGAGAAGAACAAGAAAAGAAAAACCAGAAGGCCCAAAACCGTAGCATAGAAAAAATAGAGTATGTTGAAGTGGAAATTGAAAGTATGTCCAAGGATATAGGAATTCAGTGCTCTATAGGTGACCCATGTTGTAATAACAAAATAGGCTTCATGAAAAACAACCACAGCATTATTCAGAAAAATGCATCAGAAGTATAGATTCATTTTTTATACAAATATTTAGGGTGACCTGCATTGAAGTACATTTCTATACAGAATGTGATAATTATGAGCATTTTATGTTCATTTAGTGAAGAATTAAATGAACTTAAGTATTTATCTTGCAATGAAACCATTGTATGGTGGTTGTTTTCTCAATCCTTGCAATGAGTTTTATCTCTATGAAATTAAGAACACTTAAAATATAAGATTATCTTTTTGCTTTAAAATCAGTGGGTTATCAGTATATAATATTTTGAATACATTAACTAAATTTATGGGTTTCTAAGCAAGTATGATACAACAATATGAAAATATTGAGCAAAACCAATACATGTACATTAAAGATAATAGATTGGACAGAAATAGAAATTGGGAAACTCAAAAATTCTGCTTCCTAATAACTTACTCAAGTTATAAATCAACCAACATCCATAAAGAGCTCATTGGTGTTTCTACAACTGGATGTGTAACACTTGTTTTAGATGAATGTAGTGGGCCTATTGGCCAAGCCAACTAATTGAAATGGGTAGATTTGTAGGCTTGCTGCATAATGGAGACATTATTTTTGAAGACAAAGGATTAAATATACAAGACCTTTTGTAGCATAAAAATATTACAGTGAACATGCCTGAATTTTTAATTAAAACTAGTGGACAGTTTAAATCACCAACTATGAAGATTTAGAAAAATATCCTCAAATAGGATATTAGTAGAAAGTGTAAGGTTTGGGCTAAAGATATAAAAAAATTTCTTGTAAATTAACATCCACTAGCATCTCTAGTTAACATGATTGTCATTTATATTCTGTTGGCAAAATTTTTGGTTAACATCTTGGTAAAACTATAGATATCTGGTACTTGCGTACGAGGTGGGTGCAGGAGAAGCTCCCTAATTCCTTCCCTTACCCCTTGCAGATATGTATATTTTATGAGTTATGATTATTTTTTGTAAAATCATAACCTCACTTTTTACATGAAAATATTGATACAAAGTTACTTCTGCAACAGTTTCGGCGTTGCGCTAAATGCAGCTCCTTCGCCATAGCGGCTGAGGCTGGTTGCTGAAGGCGACCAATAAGCCAAAGGTGCGGTAGGCAGGAGCAGCTCTCCCTCCGCGCCTATGGCTTTACAAAAACACTAGTGGTAGGGCAGACAAGACTATGTGGAGTCCAGGGGCTTGCTGATTCGGTTTTAGAACAGATTCAACCAATCTTATATAAGTCATGTTGCCCCAAAGTCTGCTTTGATACTGGTAAATGAAACAATGTAATGTGAATTGTTATAATTTTGTTTTCTAAAAAAACCTCTTGGCTGCCTTCCACTGTGACACAATTTGTTGTATATGAGTCCCTTCTCTAGCCTTAAATGGATTGTCTGGGTCTGAGTGATTAACATCTTATGGGGGTGTATCCATGTTAAAAAAAGAAATTGACATATATATGCATTTTATGCAAATTTTAGTTAATTTTTTTATCATAATTAATTCAAAAGGCACATTTCCGAAATCCAAAAACAGTGTAATAGGTTGAAGTTTAACCCTAACAAGCCTCCTAAGCTAAAAACATTATTAAAATCAAGTACCAGATGTCTATAGCCAACCTAAACCCTTAATTGGTAGAGGAAACTAGCTGTGCGATTATAATGAAACTAAAATTGGTATTTTATATTATTTATTAGAATAATGTGTGATGTATTTTTATAAATGAAATTTTATTGACTATGTGTTTTCCGCTACTGGCAGAGGGATGTGAATTTCTTTGAAAGAAAGTACAGCACATAGGGGCACTTTGCATTCACCGCATTTTATGTTTGTCCTTTTGTTGTTTGTTGCACTGCTGCATATCTGACAATGCCTGTATGTCTGTATAGCTTCTGGAAAGTGTGCAGCAAGATAAGCAAATTAAATTTGTTCTAGTATGCCAAAAACCTTTCTGGCGAGAGTCCGCTTCTGCGCTGTTTTTTCTTTTCTTAGCTAGGAATTTGGGACCAGTCGAAAATTTTCATTTGCGATATGTCAAATTGTTTACTAGTTCTTTGGCCAGTGTAAGCCTCAAAATTTTTGCTCATGGGATTGGGCACTCTTGAATTTCTGGAATACAAAATGTGCGCATTTGTGATAGATATATCAACATAAATAAAACAACCACTTCCTCTATTTCCTGCTTCGACAAAAGACATCATATACCACTTTTTACTGGTGGAATTTATTACCAGTAAAAAGCGGTACCGGACGGTCATTCGCTTTGAGTATTCAAGTACTGGGAGTGGTCAAGGAAGGGATCTCTTAATATCATCCTTTTGTGTGCGTTGACAAATGGCCTTTTCTTTTGGGTGAAAGGTTTTACTCAAAATAGTTACCAATTTTGTATCTTTCCAAGATAGCAAATCCTACATTGTTCCAGGCTCTACTTGTATTGGCCTTTTTGTAGTTGTTTTAGTTTTCAATTTTGCCTCTTCATTATTTCTTCGATATCTCTTACACCAGTAGGTTTTTTTTAACTAGAACAGGCATTCCCAATCTATCATTTCTAGGTGTTGCTGTGCTGTATATACCGTGATCATATAGATATTAAAGCAGTTCATAACTACTAAAAAAGTTATCAAAAGAAAGATGTGCTTTGCTACCTCATCAATAAGTGGCTGAGCTAGTTTTTAGCAAACGATAGGTTTGAGTGGCATATACTGTTTTAGAGTATTATGTCCCTTGAATTTGCCCATTGATTCATCAATGGCCTGCGATTTTGTATTTTTGGCATTATTTTGACATCTCTGATTTATTTAATCTAGCCTGTGTTCCGAAATAGAACCCAGTATAATGACCAATACAAATGACGTCATAGATCGACGCCATACTGGTGATTCATTTCAAAACATTGACCAGTATATGACATCATCAAACATGCTCTTGACCACTCTTCCTCAGTAATAAAGAATGAGTATGATTTCTCATTCTCTTCATCGTACAGATTTAACTGTTTAAACTCTGCCATTTTTTGTATTTGAATAAATAAAAAGAAATTCTGCCATGCTTCATTCAGCAAACACACAATTAAAAATTGTTTTAATATGGCAAGATATCCGACACAATATGGCGGCGGCACGCAAGTACAGTATGGCGTCAATTAATGACGTCATTTTCATTCGCCAGTATACTGGGTTCTATTTCGGAACACACCCCTAATACCTGCAGTACACTGCTCGCAAAGTTGAACGAAGTTGGGCATAGACGAGTGTGTACAGGGCCACTTCGCTTCACTTCGGGCAATCTCGCTTCGCCTTGGGTAACTTCCGATCGTTGTCGGTTTTTTCCGCCCGAGTCAAAGGACCGAAGTTTCGAGTATAGGACAGAAGTACGAAGTGACTCTGTACATTACTCGGCTTACTTCTATAAAGTTAACGTAGTGCTGTTTAATTTAAAAACGTATTAATTCTATCCAAATTGCTCAAGCCAAAAATGAATTGGTCACAAGAGCAAATACTATTGCTTTTGGAGTTGCTCCAGGGGGAAACGGTAATATGGGACCCTGGCAATAATTTTTTTTGCATCCAATATACAACGCGGTCAAATTTACTTGACGCATGGCTTTGATGACGTCATTTTGGCGGTCAGGTACGGTGCGAAAAAAAGCATGTAGCTAAATAAAAACTATATTTTTGATTTTGGAGCATAGGTTTTATTTGTTAATCTTGCAATATGTTGCATCATGTATTTTTTATACAGTATAATTTAAAACTATTTTATGTTGATAGATAAATATTTATTCAAAATTCATCTTCACTATAAATAATTGGTACAATATCATGGTCTAAACTGTCTTCTTCTTCACTTTCGATCTCGCTGTCGGATGACTCCTCTCCTCCAAGATCGATTACAAGTTGCTGCAGTACGTCGTCAATCAGGCTATTTTTTTCCCAGTATTCCTGAAAATAAATAAAATAGTGTTATAAATTTACCACAAAATAATTGTATCAATTTAGTGAATTACTAATATGTACCTCCTAAAAAGTACTTATATTTTTTTATTTAACATCACAATACAAACATACATACATACTTTAGATTTATAATTTATTTACGAACTGACCTCTTGTAGTCTCTCGACATGGTTAACTTCTTTTTTCCAGTCTGATGCTGTGATGGAGTTTATTCCATCTCTGGTGAGATTTTCAATTTTTATTTCTTGTTGGTCTACGTTTTTGCATGCCACCCTCTGTTTGACCAAATTACAGACATATTCAATGGGGTTGAGGTCACAATGGTAGGGTGGCAAATGTACAATTTCATGGCCATGTCGTTTCATTAAATCATCGACAATGTATTGCTTGGGCGGCTTTGCATTTTTTTATAATATGGTGGAGTTCTCTTTTTCATCAAATGGAATATTGTTATCACGCAGCCACTGTTGCATGTCTCCTTTTAACGTTGCACTTGTTGCGTTGTCAATGAGGACTATACTATTTGGGGCAAGTTTGGTATCAGCTTTTCATTAAGCCATTTCAAAAAATTCTCGGTATTCATTTCATGATGGTAATCGCCAGTAGTACTTTTTCATTTGTATAACAAATCTGCATCTGGGATAAATCCGTTTTCTCCTCCAGCATGCACCAGAATCCACCGTTGACCCGGGTTAAAATTTTTATTCACGCTGCTATCTGTGTTGTTTTGCCAGCATTTGCTGACTGTGTAGTGGGAATGGATCCACGTTTCATCCAGGTAGATAACTGGTTTTTTACCTGCGCCGAGGTCATTGTTCTCTTTCATTCGGCGCAGGTAGCGTTCTTTTCATGCGGCTATATCGGCTTTTTGAATTAGCACCGAACTCGCACTTTTACATTTTTTAAACTTATATAACCCAACTGATTTATTAAAATATTTCTAAGGAAAGTTCTTCCACCTTGAAAATTAAGATCTCTCTTAACAGCTGCCAAGTTTTTTTTAAGCGTGGGTAGTTCCTTTTTAACAGTATATAAGCTGTTGATGATATTGCGTATTGCGCA